CTTTTACATTGGCAGAGGATAATTCCGACTTCGGTGTAGAGTTGCCTTCAAACGCCCTCCAGCGTCTCCGTAAGGATAGTAGGGAACCGTTCGGAGTCGTAAGATCATCCCAGAACAGACTTCTTCATAATTCCTCTGAACTTCTCTCGTTCAGCTTAGTTGCTTTTTCTCCAGCATTCTGAATTCCAGCATTCTGAACTCTGCTGCTCTCGGAACTAACTCACAGCATTCTCTCAGCGTTCTCCCAGCGTTCTCTCCCCGCACTCACTGGTGAACTAGGAAGTGTTGCACCTTTTAAAGAGGTCATTTCCGGTTCATTTGAGAACTTCCTGATTGGTCGATCGACCGAACAGGGGTGTGTTTTAGTGATGTAAGAGGTTATTAAAAGTCAAGGAAAAAGATTGTTTGTTTAAGAACAGACAGAAAATGTTTTTGAAGGACCCAGACTTCGTGGAGTCAATTCTCTAATATCTTTCTGTAAAAGTTAAACATGACATTTCTTTCCAGTAAACTTACAGTTGACTGAAACTTGACCTTTGACCAACATCACAACTTGCTCATTTCAGACAGAAGATCAAGAAGATGAATCATTACTCTGTAACACATTCTAACTTGGTTTCTACTTTGAATGAGGATTAAAAATCACTAATACTGTTTCACAGTTGATTTAAAATGAGTAGTTCACTTCAACATTTGAAAATGGTTTGAACTAAACACACTTTGATTATCAAAACATTTGTAAAATAGTAATGATGATAGAAAAGAGAGTGTTCTTTCAATTGATCAGTGCAGGACACTTAGGAAGTCTTCTGGATGGACTTGATTTTGTGTTTCTGGACTCAATGAAATACAGTTCTTGTCCCGGGAAGGCCCTCAAGGCCAGATTTTGACCTGAGGCTTAGTTCACTACACTCCATCTAGCTCGCTTTGACTTTTTTCGTCGGCCACCAAGCACAACAACACCTGCACTTCTGCATTTGACCACGGCTTTGATATTGTTTTTTTAATAGCTTCAAAATACTAAAAAATACGCTCCTCGAGTTATCGCTAATGGCAAGCGGTAAAGAAAAAATGGTGGATCGGGTTGTTTGGAAAGACTCCACAGACTCCTCCCCCCGACCAATCAGTGACCGACAGTGTTTCTGACGTCACGGCGCGGCTCGCTTGGACCCCTTGAGAAGCCGGGCCAGAATTTAGGGAGGCGAGCCGGTCACAGGAACAGTGGAAAGACCTCAAACGCGCGTGAAGCCGGAAATATCCGACCCGCACCGTGACAGTGGAAAAGGGGCATAAGGGGACCTGGCTAGCTACTGGTTTTTCTACAGCACGGAGCCGAGCTTCCAGTTCAGACAGCCTCTCCTCCAAAGCTACCATAAGACTACATTTGGTACATGTATCATTACCCCTAAAGGAGGCAGAGGAGTAACTAAACATCTGACACACGGAACAAGAGAAAACGGAGGAAGCGGAGAGAGAAGCAGCAGCCATGCTAAGCTAACGCTAGCAGGAGTGTAGTATGACATATATAGGATATATATATGCATACTTTTCACGAGTTCCTCATCTTTCTGACTGTGTAAATGTTGTGCATTGAATTTTAACAGAAATGTAACGAGAGACGTTATTTATGTTTGACCCATCAAATGAATGCGGTCATTTATTTTCAGAATCAAAGTTTAACATCAAACATTTACATTAATTTGGCAAAATATGAAAATAATAACAGACAAGTTTCACAGAAAATGGGCTTCAATCACACGGCGGTGATTGAGGACTTAGCTTCAGATATTTCTAAATATCTGTACTGATTTTAGGAGAAAGCAGAGTTTAAGATGGAAATGGAGATTTATCTTACAGAGAGATTTGTGAGGGAATTAATCTGTTTGACCAGAAAACGTGCACGTTCCATCAGATCTCAGCTGGCCTCCGGTACACTTAGTCGAAAATAGAACCTTCTACCTGGTTGACGATGAAATCAGCGTCGGCGTAGGTTCCTTTCTGACTCTTTCAGCGTCTCCGTGAGAACTGCCAAACCCTTAGAGAGTCGTACGAGGTTGTTCAAACAGAAGTTATAATCCCAAAACGTCTCTGGATCATCCTGAACGCGTTGGCATCCAAGAACTCTAACTCCATCAATCTTCAACGTCTGGCTTCAGACTTCAGACTCTGGCACTCTCTTTGAACTCATTTCTGAGCGCAGCAAACCGCAGCAACTGCATGAACTCAGCAACTCAGCGTCTCAGCCTCTTGCAACTCTCACACTCTGACATGAACTGGGAAGTTGCCACATTTTAAATGGGTCGACTTCCGGGTCATTTGAGAGCTTTCTGATTGGTCGATGGACCAGGAATAGAGGTGTGGTTTGTGATGTAAGATGTTATTAAAAGTCAAGGATTGTTTTAGTGACAAACAGAAAGATTATTGTAGGACTTCAGACTTCGTGGAGTCTCACTCTTATTATCTTCTGAAAAAGTTTAAACATGACATTTTTCTCGGTAAACATTTTAGTTGACCGAAACCTGACTTTTAACATACTTACATTGCAGACAGAAAAATCAAGAAATGCATATTAACCTGATTTCTTCTTTGAATGAGGAATAAAAATCATTACTTACTGTTTATGTAAAATAAAAATGAGTAGTTCTTTTCAACCTGTAAACATTGAGTGAACTAACACAATTTGATTATCAAACATTTATAAAACAGTAATGATTATAGAGAATTGTCTTTTCTGCTTGATTAATTCAAGAAAGAAAGTCACCAGATGGCTCAAACTGTATTTCTGGATGCAGATCAATGAAATAACAGTCTCTGTTCATCTGATCAAGATTTGAGGTCAGATCAGGTTCAGATCAGGTTCACTACAGGAGCTAGCAGAGCCAAATACACCAATAAAAACCGAGAAGTGTTGAAAGATAAGAGGTGTCTTAAGCACTATCCAACAGTAGAGAAACAACTGTACTAAGTGTGTTTGTGAACTAGAATGAAAAACTGCAAAAGACAGATAAATCCAGAAAACAGAGACGACTCGAGCAAACAATTCACTTGAGCTACCGACAAACAGGAAATGACACAATACATCTCACCACGAACGTGCAACGTCACACCACAAGGATATTAAGTTTTTGAATGGAATTATGGAAGTTAAACAACTTTTCCATGATATTCTAATTTTTTTGAAAGGGTCTGTATATGTACAAATCAGGCTGTAGCAGTTAGCAGATCAGACATTGTGCGGTCAATATGACTTGTTTTTATTGACCCATCAAACTGTACACATAAGCAGCTTGTCTAACTGATGATGGCATCCTGTTATTTGGGCCATCTCTGATGAATGGCCTTAAAATAGTTTGTCATTTCTGCATTTCTTTTTATTTTCATTCAATCTGTTTTTTTTTTTTTTATATGTTGTTTTTTTGTTTAGTTTTTTGGAGGATGGGGTTGTTTTTTAATAATGCGGGCTATTTTTCTATATGTGCACAATTCATTTTTGCTGCTGTGTTGTGATGCTTTTTGTTTATGGAGCAGTCTTCACATGTTTGTTCAGTTATGAATATGGACTGAACAATGCACGAGTGTGAATAGTTTAAACTTTCCATGTTTCATTAGTAAAGCTGAGTAACATTAAAGGATGTTATGAACATTTAATCTTTTTCACAAACTGCTTATTATGCACGTGCAGTGGTGTGGTGAACAACAGAAACTGTATCTGAATTAACGTGTGTGTGCACTTGGTTTCTGACTGCCCTAACCATCACATAAACAGGTAAAGGAGAAGGTGGACATCATTGTAGGATGTCTAATTATCTTTTTGTCAGCTGGCCTAAAGTCATTTGTGGCTTTTTCTGATCATAGTCTGTTCTTTGAAAGCAACTTCTGAGCTGTTGGATCAGAACGTTTGTGTAAATTTAATGTATGTATCATTCCAGTGCAGCAACAACTGGAAGCAGATGTTTATTTGAAGACTAAAGATGTGCTTGTGTTTCTCTAGATCTTGTTTCTTGAGTTGCACAAACAGTGTTTGCTGGTGCTTTAAATAGGTGCAGACTGGTTCAGGAATCATTCTTTGAATTTGACATGTCCCGATCCCCCCTTCAGTTTCCCGTCAACTATTATAAGACATGGAATGGCCAGCAATCTAAGTTTGCAAAGGTTAGACAAAACAAAAAAGTCCAAAAATAGAATGCAGAATGTATTAAAATATTTAAAACTTGAAGTTTTGTATCATTCAGTGACCCACAACCTTTTTTATATTCTATTTATCATACGTTGAATCATACAAAGCTTTTTTTTTTTTTAATCCTTCTGTATTTTGTTGGAGATTTGTCAACAGATTAAGGTAAATTGCGTCAAAGTAATGTCAAGTTTTTATTATTTTTGATTTCTTTAGGAGTTTTATTTTCAGTCTTTGTACTAGTGTAAGGATTTCTCATCCCAGTTTAGAATAGGTCAAAGTTTAGGGCTCTGTTAAAAGCAAAGATTCAGATAAATACATTTTGTAATGGTTTCCTAAAAGAACAAGTCTTTAGGTCAAAGTGAGGCCTTCTCATAGTCTGAGTACAGCAAGCAGCCACTAGTTTGTATCTTTACATAACCTTCCATGAATACTGAGGAATGCAAACTGGAAAGGGCAGATCCATTGCTCTCACCCCTCCCATCCCACACAGCGAGTCCCACACAGTTGTACCTAATCACTCCTTATCTCCCCAGCAGCTTTGATGCAAGGGCTCCCTGACCCTTCAGCATGTCTCTCTGAGCATGTTGGGTAGAGACGAGGACAGAGCAGCAGGCAGAGTTATTTTACGATGGGAGGGAATGTCCCAGTAACAGCTGCTCCCTTGCATTGACAGGCTGATACTCTGACAGAGGCAATCTTAGGGGCATTCTCACAAAGGACCTCCACCACTTCCACTGCCTTTTACTTGCTGTACCTGTTGCATGGGATTCATACGCTCAAGAGGAAAACACTAGACTGAGTGTTGTTTTTTGTGTATGTGAGCGCCTCATCCTTTCTGGATCGAAGATGAGGATGAAGGAGCTGTCTCTTCGTCAGGATCCTGACCTCAGGAAGGAACTGGCTCTCCTGGCACGTGGATGTGACTTTGTTCTGCCCTCTCGGTTCAAGAAGAGGCTCAGAGCCTTCCAACAAGGACAGGCAGGTGTTTGTATTAGTGCACTCCGCACCGCACAGGCTTTGCCTGCCCATTATATTCTCCCATTCCTTTAGTGGCACACTGTTGTTCATCCAAACATGGATACAATTTGTGTTCACTTGTTCACATTTTGTTTTGTTTGGTGCTTTGTGCTCAGCTGCTTTGTTGTCCTCTTTCAGTCCTTGCTGTTTTCACTGTGCAGAATGTCATGTGGCTTAGCAGTTGTTCTCGAGCTCTGCGAGCATGGAGACAGCGAGGGGACAACGCAGGGCAACAGGAGATATTTCTGTCCATTTATAGCCATGGCTGCTACTTGCACACAGCACAGATAAGCATAGACTCACGTATCTTTTGTCACAGAAGATTTGTGATTCTGTGCTTATCTGACGAGTTTTATCAGGGTAAAATAAGCAGATTCCTCCAGCAGTTTACAACAAAATATAAGATTACAGCAAACATTTTGAGAATGTCTCTTTAATTAGATTTTTTTTTAAGTTACGTTAATGTTTGGTGTTTTACTGATGTTGATCCAGGTTTGTTAAAATGAGCATGTGGTGTGGGAACACCAGGGTGAAAGTTTTATATCTTTACAGGTGTTCTGAATTATTACTCAAGACCACAAAGAACGAGTCAGCAGATTTTTAGTATAACATGTTCTCCTCAAACTGTGTTAGTAAATGGTGTCAAATTACATTTGGCTCTCAGATTTTTAAGCAAAATAAAAACTTCTACTCACAGATTCAATATTCTCCACTGTATATCACTGTGCAAACCTCAAAATGAGTGTTTAGTTATGAATATCCCCATTTCATTCTGTTTCTGGGATTATTTGTTTATGTTCAAACTTAGATATGTTTCATAGAGGGTGTGTTTTCCTTTGCAGCTATCTCCAGCGGTGGTGGTAACAAAATAACACCACATTGTTAGATCATTTTAGGTTGTTTTTTTGTTTGTTTGGTTGGTTTTTTTGCATTACAGTACCTCCATTTGTTCATCACTAAAACGTTACAACTAACTATCGTAGCAAAATCACAACACTTTGTTGGCAAAAGTATCCTAAAACTTTTTTCCTTTCACAATCATTTGCATTATGTAATATTGCAAATATCCATCCATCCATTATCTTTACCCGTTTGTTCCATTTTGGGTCACGGGGGTCGCCGGTGCCCATGTCCAGCAATTACTGTGCGAGGGGCGGGGTACACCCTGGACGGGTCGCAAGTCCATCACAGGGCCACTTGGAGACAAACGAGACAAACAACCATTCACTCTCTCACTCACACCTAGGGACAATTTAGAGTTACCAATCAGCCTAACATGCATGTTTTTGGTTTGTGGGAGGAAACCGGAGTACCCGGAGAAAACCCACGCATGCACAGAGAGAACATGCAAACTCCACCCAGAAAGGCCCTGGACCGGGGTTTGAACCAAGGACCTGCTCGCTGAGAGGCAGCAGCTCTACCAGTTGCGCCACCGTGCTGCCCTATATTGCAAATATATTAAACTAAAATATTGTTAAAATCTATTGTCTACATGCCTCAACAGGTTTCACATTGTTTGATTTGAGATATAATGAGTGTCCTACCTGCAGTAGACAGCAGTCATTTCTATGTTAATAACATGGATTAACTTGAACATCTGTGAAGTTCTGGGTTTATTTTATGTGGTGGATATTTGCTCTGAGATATGTCTTTTTCTGAGTTGTGATTGATTTGACTTGTACAAATGTCTCCTTGAGTCTCCAAACTGAAACCACTCTGACTCTTATCAAAAGCAGGTAAGGTGCTCAAGATCAAGGAGATTAAGCAACGCTAATCTCCTTGGGGTGATTTAGAAAAACATATTTTTGATTTAACTTCTTTTAGTTTGATTTTTCCAGAATAACGGATAATAGGTGGCACACCCTAATATTTATGAGAGCGCTTGATTTGTCAACTTCTGATTAACAAAAAGGATTTGATGACTATTTTAGCTTTTTGACTTTCATATACAATTTAAAATGTTTGCATAGTAATAATCTCAAAGCAATATAACTGCTCGCTTGGTTTTATTTTCATGTCACGTTTAAGCAGCTCAGTTTGTATCATTTTACAGTATAAATTATCATGAAACTAAAAGAAAACACTGAATTTTGTTTCTTGTACATCATGAGTGAAAAAAGAAAATTGTGTGTTTTTCCAAAATTTTTGAGACGTGTAATGATTTTTGATTGCTAACAAGAAAGTGTATCGGCATATCAGTTAAGCTGCTGAAGCGGTTTGGATACTAAACATTGGCTAGTTTGTTTTTTGTTGTTGGTGGGGAGGTTTTTAGGTTGCATCTGAAAGAAATGGGAGCGATGGGCTGTTGGTTTTAAACTCCAGCTGCCTTTAGGAAAATATATTTTAATATTAGCTGGCCTTGTTGCTATTTTAAGTGCTTTATAAATAAATTGGTATGGTATTTAAGATTTGTTTAAGAAAGGACAAGCTAAGGTTTAAAGGAAACACACACTTCATGTACTTTCTTAGGCTTTTTAAAATACACACATTCCTGTCACTTTATATTCACTTACACTAAAAAAAGATGAATGTCACAATTTAAAATTCTTTAATATTAAAATTTAAGTAATTATAGTCATTATATAATATTGCATGCATGCTCATGATTCATGTGTTCGACTTTTTTCTCTTTCAACAAAAGGCTCAGAAAGGGTGTAATGGGTTTTAGAATTAATGGCCCTCTTTTATTTAAAAAAGGTCATTAGAAGTTCTGTTTTAACCTGAGGGTCAGGACACAACATTGGGGATTTCTAAGAGGATGTTAAGAAAAGATGAAATGTCGTATAGTAAAACATTAATACAACGTGTTAAACATCATGTGTGCCACTTGGAACTGGTTTTATTGAGCGTTTTTGTTTGCAAGCATTATGTTTCTCACAGGGACAGTGATAACCTGAAGAGTGTAATTATACACAAGAAATTTTCTTGTGATAACAATTTTTTTTTTGAGGTTATGTCTAAAATTATAAAATTATGACTGTCATATTTTAAATGTCTTGTTTACCAAATATACTAAATAGAACATGTGTATCATGTCCTGTTTATTATATTTGTTGATGATGCTGATCTTATCGTTGACTACAAGTCATAAAACTGTCAGGACTGAACTTGGAACAACTGGTTATTTGTCTTTAGGGTGTCAGATATTATATATTACCCATAATCTATATATGTTTAATACTTGTGTTTATGTAAAAAAAAAAATAAAAAAAAATAGTTTTTATATTGCCATTTTGTAAATCTGTGTTCTTTAAAATATTGATCTTCAGGCTTTTACTTTTAAGAAGTATATTAACCAGAAAATAAATAATTAAGCACAACTTTAACCAAAAACCTAAAATAACTGTCAGGTCCAATAATTGCACACATATTAATGAATGTTGACATATTAATTTAAAATGTGTTACAGAGTTACTGTAAGTTAGGAATGGCAGTCACAGCAGTATCTGTTACAGATAAATGGGTAATAATCATCTTCCATGATGAGCCTTAGGGCTGTTTAAAGATATGGTTACATCAGTGCCAGCAGCATGGCATTTATGTTGCAGTGAGCCTCAACACGCACTGAAATGTACTTTTAGCACGAGTGGCTAATAGTTCATGTGTCTGTGTTTGTCTCAGGCCCAAGTGAGGACGGAGGAGCCAGTTACCACTGCACTGAGTGAAAGCATTCCCAAGTTTTACTTCCCACAAGGCCAGCCCCAAGCCAACCTCAACATCGACAGCCTCATTTCCAAAATTGAGAAAATATTTTCACAATTTCCAAATGAAAGGGCCACCATTGAAGGCATGGGGCCAGTTGCCAAGGTGAGAACGCAGGTTGTAGAATCGTGGTTCAGCTGCCACCCAGAAAACTATTTTCTTTTAGTGCTGTTTGGCTCCTGACTTATTGAATGTTTGCTGATTTTAAAACCCCATGGAAAATTATTATTTCCGTGTCGCAGAGGAATGTGGTCTGTAGCCTGAGGAGAACTTTGTGTCAAAAACAGCTAAGTTGACTCAAGGAAATCAATAAATTACTGCTTTGCAACCTATTAAATTTCTGAAGTAAAACGTGTGTTTTGTTAACTTCATTATACTTTTTTAATTTCATCTTTGCATAAGCTTCATTCTTACTACAGACTCTATTTTCTTCTGTGTCCTTAGGCCTGTGAGTGTCCCCTGTACTGGAAAATGCCATTGTTTTGCTCAGCTGGAGGCGACAGGACGGGATTTGTGTCCGTTCACAAGTTTGTGGCTATTTGGAGAAAGTATGACAATAGCTGCTTTTATTCTAACTGAACCAATGACATATTCACGCTCAGCCAAAGGGCTCATACAGACTTCTCTGGACAATGAGGATCACTCTCTCAGGAACATAAACGCTGCATGTAGCTCTCTGCCATTAGGACGTTTTTCTTTTTCCAAACAGAATTTGTTGCTTTTATAAACTTTGTTAGGGAAAGTAGCTACGTTACAGCACGTGTAGGCCTGTCACGATAACAAATTTTGCTGGGCGATTGTCTCAGAAATTATTGCGATAAACGATAATATTGTTTGAAATTTGACAATAATTAGTAATTATTGTCAAATTTAAGAAGAAATGTTGGTTAATTTGTTTTGAGTGTAGTTCCTTTTTTCGACCACCGGATGGCAGTATAAGACTGAAACGAAGGATGGATAGTGAGGGAGCGACCAGCGCGTCTCTTTAAGAAAAATGGGAGGGAGGCCCCTTGATGTGACATGGGCTGTCTTTCCCTCCTTTTTTCAGTCGTCAAAATGTCGGATGCTTGGTGTGGTTTGAGCTCTTTAGCATTATTACACAAAGCTTTTAATAAAAAATCAGTAAACAAGTTCTCAGCTTCCTTTTGCAGAGAAAACAACTTTTTACATGAAGGCACAGGTTTCAACCATGAACTTTGGAGCTTCAACAAGATGGAGGTTACTTTTTTTTCCCAAGGTTGGCCTGTTAGCTTAGCTCGTAGCTTAGCTTCTCAGCTTAGCTGCTTTTAATGATCCAAAAACGGGATTTTGGACATTTAAAATTGATTTTAAAGAGAAAGGGAGGGGTCAGTGAAGAGCACCGGAGTTGAGCCTTTTGTCATCCATTGTCTTCAGTAGAAAGAGAGAGACACGAAGAAATGATAAAGCCAAATAATGAAAATGAGGTTGATAATTTTCATTTATTGCGCGATTAATTGATTTATTGTTTATTGTGACAGGCCTAAGCATGTATACTGAATGGAAAACATCCATTCAGTATCTTTCTGTTGATAGAAATATTATGAGGTTTTCTGCAATAGACATGTCTTTGTATTAATGTGTGAGCCTCCAGAGACCTGGACATGCATGAGTTTTGACCTGAGCGTGTCACTGAACCGTTCTCAGATGAGAGGTCACCTCAGGCCTTCTATTATTACCACAACCATAACACTGTGCAGTACAGTGATCCATCACCAATTCAGAATATTAATTTCAGAAGTAATATACCTGCACTTGAAATTTTTAATAAAGTTCAAAATTGAAAGAATATAAAACCAAGGAGGGAGTGACCTCACAACCAGCTGTGATCTCTTCTTCTTCTCCAGAACTCTGCAGACCTGTCACGATGATGCTTCTAAATTTGTGCACCTCCTGGCCAAGCCTGGCTGTAATTACCTGGAACAAGACGACTTTATTCCATTTCTTCAGGTACGGACTGCAGCACACCCAGGAAGAGGGCTGGAATTGGCAGGGCGGAGGAGCAAAATTGCAAAGGTGGCACAAACTGAGTCTGGTCTGTGGACGGCCCTGCTGAGGCCGTACTTTCATGTGTGACAGAAAACTAATTTAGTAACGTTAAAAGTCTGCGGTATAGTGACGAGACACAGACTGGGTGGAGATTCTCCTGAAGATGTTTTCAAGCTTAGAAGAAATGGTAATTAAAGTTAAAAAAAAATTATTTGGCCCTAACTTGATGTATTTTTTATACTTCCATGAGCTTTTAGCCTGATAGGAACACCCGTTAGCATGCACGTAGAGATTCCTCGTGGCACGTGGTGTTTAATCTGTACTGTGTGGCTCAGTGAATCACCTTTGACTGTTGTGATGAATGAAAGGCGGATTGCTGTGGAGTAGATTTGACTGTCCCTGCCTGTTTCCTGTGGGATGTGATTTATGTGTTTTCTATGATTTAATTTCTCTTAGCAAATCCACGAAGCTTGAAGGCTGCCCTAAAATAAGGCCTTTTAATTTTGTTACCGCCTTTGCATTTATGTCAACAATTATTTTCCTTACTGGAAGGCAAGGAGGTAGAGAAGGAAAAAACATGGGGGAGTTTCCTAATAAGGACATACCAAGAGTTTCTAAGACATTCATTGCTCATTTAATCTCTTTAAGGCATAAGGAGGGAATAAATAATCAATAAACCTATTTTTATTGCCATTTCCTAGGGTGTTTTCTTAAGTACCGTATATCCGGAGTGTAAGTTGCACCTTTTTGCAAAAATTTGCAAGTCCTGCGACTTATACACTGAAGCTACTAATGTACGTTTTTTTTCCCCCATATTTATAACCCAATTTTTGACTTTGAAATGTTTATTCATAGACATGAACCAGTAAACATTACCAGTTGCAGCCGCTAGAGGGTCCTCTAAGGCTTTTATATGTTGTTCGGCTACACCCACCCCCCCCCCCCCCCCCGCCCCCACACATACACACACACAAACGCACAAACGTTCACAGAGACAACTGAGGAAAACTTAACACAAGTAAAATCGCAAACAGAAAATCCTATTTTGCAAGTTTGTAAACAGGTGGGGTCCGTGCAGTCTGTCTGGGAGATTCAACCCAGCGGAAAGGACAACCGCACGGTGGTGTAGGATTCCCCATCACAGGGAACATTCCCCCCCCATGTCTGGCTGGCTCCCGCCGGGCACATTGCCTCTGTGGCCCCGGGAAGCAGCAAGAACGAACGAAGGCTGCAAAGCTCGCGACTGCAGCCTTCGTCTCTGCTCCGCCGCCGGAGCGGGGAGGAACACCACCACCCAGGCGAAATGCAGCTGTTTTGACCATAAAAGTGCATTTATTAAGGAAAAGTTAAACTTAGTCACATCTTTGCTATAATTTTGAGCAAACAAGTAATTGTTTTTAACTGTTAATCTTGTTAAAGTCCTCCCATGCACGCTCTCGCGGCCGCCATTTGGCAGCCAATTGATTTTTGGCACAACACCGGCCCACGTTTCCAGGTTGTCAGCGGTGATGCATAATAGATGCAACTTATACAGCAAAGCAGCTTTTTTTTTTCCCACTTTATTACACATTTTTGGACTGATGTGACATACACTGGAGCACCGTGTATGGTGGAAAGTACGGTAATTTTTTTAAAGACCTGTATAAAGAGGGGGCTTCTTCTGTTAAGGTCTGGAGGATTTTCTGTTAATGGGACAACATAAACAAGTGGTATCCTGATGTACCTCGTCGCTGAGGGATTTGAATAGTGAATATTTGTAGTTTAGTGTGGGCAGAGGAGGGAGGGGTGGTATTTCTAATTACCCCTCTTTGCTCCACGTTGGGGGACAAAACCAAATGTTGGACAAAAGGATGCGCAGTAGAGCAACACAGATTTTGATGTTTCACTTGAGTGTTTGTCAGCTCCTCTGACAGCCGTAGATTGTATTTTTCAGAAATGAAGGATGTCTGTTAAGAGTTGCCTTGAATTTCAGGGATGAATGTTCTTTTGTGAAGTCAAGACCAAGTAATAACTTTAAACTTTATGTTTCTAGGATGTGGTGAACTCACATGCAGGTTTGGCATTTCTAAAAGAAGCACCAGACTTTCACTCACGATACATCACAACGGTATGCTACCATCACACAGCAACTGTGCACAAGCAGCGTGCATGGTTTGCTTGATAATCAATTCATTCTGTACAATAACAACACTGATTGTTCTTTAGGTGATTCAGAGGATATTTTACAACGTGAATCGGTCATGGACGGGGAAAATCACATGTTTTGAGCTCAGGAAAAGTAACTTTCTTCAGGTAAATGTTCATGTTAAATGTTTGCTGTTTACACACAAAAAAATATACATTAAAATTCTCAGTTTGAGTAAAAAGTTCTTTCAATCACATTTTCTGTATAGCTGTTGTGTTTAAAGTGCATATGTTGATGTTGCACCTACAATTAATAATGACTAAAACAAACGCTGGGCAGAATGTGGCACTGCTGGAGCAGGAGGAAGATGTGAACCAGCTGACAGAGTACTTCTCCTATGAACATTTTTATGTTATCTACTGCAAGTTCTGGGAGCTTGACACTGATCACGACCTCTATATTGACCAGAAAGACCTGGCACGGCACAACGACCAAGGTGAGCACACATAACATCACTTTGACATCAATGTCTTCCATCCATCTTGGCTTCACGTCACTGCAACACAAATAGTGGGGATAAAGGCAATAAATGCAGGATGAATGCACCTTCTTGAGCAGTACTGTTTGAAATTACACAGAACAATAAAACACCTTTAGTTAATGTTATCTAGACCAGGTTTGCTCCTTACATACAGTCTGGAAAAGATTTGTCTCTGACACCTCCTCCTTTGACTGCACATTTTCTTGGTTGATGGTTTGTGAGTGAAGTAGGGGAAATAAGACACAAGATCAATAGGAGAGCAGCGTATATGCTCTGCTCCGCTGACGCCACGTCTGGAACCATTTTTGTCCACTGTATGGTCAGAATTAAGACCAGAGGATTTATAGGGTTGTCAGGAAAAGTGCACCAACGAGTCTGAGAACGAATTACACGTGTCGTGAAAAAGATGAACTGTAAGTGAAAACGTTTGGTTCTAAGTGTCATCTTTGGTCTGTGTTTTGTAGCTGTTTCACAGAAAATGATTGCGAGGATATTCTCAGGAACTGTAACTATGTAAGTAAATAGTTTGAAGAGCTGAAAGTGTTAACTCCACTACGTTTTAATTTGGTGCTTGTTTCTTCTTTCAGAGACAGGCAGGTGCATAAAAGGGGACGGTTGAGTTACGCTGATTTTGTCTGGTTCCTCATATCTGAGGAAGACAAGACGAGCGACACCAGGTATGTTTGCTTTTAGTCACACCGTGTCCTTGTCAGTCTTAAAGTGATAGCTCAGACCTTCTGAAGCGGGGTTCTGTGGACAGGTTTGAAGAGTAATTATATTTCCTGATGACTCATTAAATCAGTGGTTCCCAACCCTGGTCCTTGAGGAACGCCATCCTGCATGTTTTAGTTGTTTCTCTTCTCCAACACACCTGATTCAATGATTTTATTACTTCCTGAAGTTCTGCCAAAGCCTGTTAAGCACCATTCATTCAAATCAGGTGTGTCAAAGCAGGGAAATGACTACAACATGCAAGATTGGGTTCCTGGAGGACCAGGGTTGGGAACTATAGGGATGCACATTATTGGATTTTTGACTGATATCCGATACGCAAACATGTAAAAAAGTCCTGATGCATGCTCAATAATCCAGGTAAAAAAATCCAAAAAAGTTCAATCTGGTCCTCTGGACATTCAAAAAAACAAAAAATA